ATATATATATATATATATATATATTAGGGTTTTAACAGACAACTCAAGTAATTGGCAGGTCGATTCTTAGTACATCTATCGAGTTTTTAAATTTCATGTCGAGTATTCGCAGTGACGTATTTACGTCGCAGTTATGTCATTGCGTCACGTGTCACGTGATCCGCACCGGGCTACTAGTAGAAGCTACCAAATGGATTCCTCCCAGCAGATGGACTAAGCGAAGCAGGCCCAGTCTTGGAAAACAGGTAAAAATACATCAATAGTATGGAAATAGTTCACTAAAAATGAATCTTCCAGTTCAATTACCGTAAGGAAACAGAAAATGAATCAACTTCCTGACTGTTTGGAGCTTGTTGCGAACCGGTGTTACACCATATTCTGTGACCACCATATATTGTGACCGTAGGGGGTGGTGTTGCATGCACTGTTGCAGGTCACAGAATATGGTGTAACACCGGGTCCAATCGACCAAACCAGAACCAGCTTCCTCTGACCTTGTTTCACAAACTAAAAGCAAAAAATATGAATCTCTAAGCGTATAAAAAACCTATAAACATAATAATCTCTAAAACTAAACCTAATGTGCACCACAGCTGGTGGTGGTGTGGGGTGGTTGACTGCCCCATTGTTTTTAGTTTCGTTTTTTTATGTGCTGCACGTTTCTTTCACTTTTGCAGTTTAAAAATAATAACTTATAGTTTTGGTTTTCCTGTGACTTATTTGCAGTATTATAAATGGTATTAGCATAATATATGCTCCCAATGTTTTGTTGGTCTTTTTTTGTAAATAATTAATTACGTTTTTTTGCGGTTTTATTTTTTATTTATTTATTTTTTCATCTTGAGATCCTATGACGTCATCAACTACTCGGGTTCTACTCTAGTTTTATTGTTAATATCGAGTTTAAAAATTATGTAGTCGTTCAACCCCTAATATATATATACATATATATATATATATATGTATATATATATATATATATATATATATATATATATGTGTGTGTGTACATATATATTGATTGTGTTTTGCCATCCAACCAACATTTTTGCTTCACATCTGCACAAACAGAATATTAGGTTTATTGAAAAAACAAACAATGAAACACCAAAATTTGCTTTGTGTTCAGTCTGAACTCACTCTGTCAAGTAACATTTGTAAAGAAATCATTTGTAGCTTCATGTGAGCAGCGACAAGAATAATTGAACTCCTATATTCAGCATCACTCACACAGATTAAAATCTCATGTTGATAAAAAATACGTACATTTAGGAAAAAATAGTTTCCAAAACATTTACTGTAGTAGAAAAATAGTCATAGATGATATATGATTTTTTATATTTGCAGGAATATTAAGGTGTGAAATCGTTTTATTGTGCGTACCGAACGCTAGCACACGGCGCAAGAAAGGTCTGATGAGGGCAGTGCAGACCTGTTAGACGAGACCAGAGATGTGTTCACATGTCACAGCCCAGAGGAGGAGACTTGTCAAGCTAAAGGATTTCAAGGTAAATATTAAAATTAGAATGCTTGTAGATTTATTTAAAAAAGACATTTAAAGCCTATTGCTCTGATTTAAGAACCAAACTTCCTAAGAGTAAAGTCTCACTCATATTTTGGCTTCAAAAGTCCAGAATGCCACCAGAAGACATTTCTTTAACTATACACCACAGCTTCAGTTCACTAATACAATTACCTGTTTCCAAAAACTCAAAACCTTTTTACATTAATGCACTTTGAAAATATATATCCCTTTTGTGAAAGCCTCTGTACCACACAATTCTAAATATTTAGCTCAAGACATTTTTTTTCAAGTATGTTTACGTAAAACATTGTTTCAAAGTTTATAGGATACAATTTGTATCAACAAAGGTTTCATGTGTCTACTAGAAATTATGGCAGCCTATCAGGATCTTTAGTTTTCTAAACCAGATCAGAAAACCCTGCTGCTTGAGACGGTAACAAAAACTATAATAGCATCATTTCATTCAACAAATCTGGCTCAAAGTGAGTTACATAAACAAATATAAAATGACACTGAAACACCGTTTAAGGAGCTACGTATAAAAAAAGGAAACATGCTGAGTTTGGATGGAAACAACATAAATAAATTAAAGCTGAAGTGTGTGAGGTTACATTCAAGCTTTCACCAAACAAGCTCTGTATAAATCTCCAAAATTTACCAAAACCTGGAGACTTACAGGTCTTTACTGCTCAGCCACACTAGGAGTCTGCATCTGATTTTTGTGAGTTGATAAAAGTTCCTCTGTGAAGAAAGAACTGCTTAATTAAGATATGACAATGAAAGGTGAGAAGGTATATGATGATGGAAATAAATTAATATTTTGACAAACAATAAATGGTACAATTCCACTGCAATTCTTGCTCCAGTTTTACAACTATTGTAAGTTTTAGTGATCAGGAATTAATTGAAATAATAATCTACACATTTTCTTGTAATCTTTTTAAGCATTTTAATTTAACCACTGATTACCTTTCTATGGAAGAGGATTAGGGCCACAGTGTAAGAAAAAAAAAATCCTTCTGAGAACAAAAGTCAGAATTCTGAGAGAAAAAAAGTTAGAATTCAGAGATTAAAGTCAGAATTCTGAGAAAAAAAGTTAAAATTCTGAGATTAAAGTCAGAATCCATCTATGTAATTCTGACTTTTTTCTCAGCATTAAGGGGAAAAAATATTGCACCTTTCAGAGTGACCAGAGCTAAAAATGATTTTGTAAATGGATTGTTGTTCTGATAAAATCATCTGAGAATAATTTATTTTAAGAAGTTGCTTTCCTGTTTATTTTATTCATATAACCTTTATTATAGCAGGCAAGACATTAAGAACAGTTTCTTTTTTACAGTGTGGGCCTGGCGTTCAGCTTGCACCTAAAAGTAATGATTACAAATATTGCCTGTCAGAGAAGGATCAATAATAGCCAAAAGTAAAACTAAAGCCAAAGACTACTTTGCATGTCCCTCACCACGTGTCTTTATGTATAAGAACTTCAAAACAAACACCTATGTTCTGTTTTTAATTTTATCTTTATTCAATTTAAATGTTTGGATGTGATGATCTTTCATGAGAAAAAAAGCAGAAGGTTTAAAAAAATAATGTCTGAACAAAAAAAGCAGGGGAACCGTGAAGTCAGCTGACTATCCAAACACAGGAAATAATCTGGTTCAGTGGTGAACAGCAGCTTGGGGTTTTCATGTGGATTTTTTGCTATCTTCTTTTGTGGGTTCTATTAGAGTTTTACTTCCCTCCTGGGGAAATCCACCAAATCTCACATCAAAAGTGCCACATTTTAGTGTAGACTGAAACAGTTGATTAGTTAGAGCTACTGTAACTCAAGCATTAAATATGGTCTGAATGCATTTGCAGTGCGACAAAAAATATTAACATTCACTGTATTCCTGCAGTCCGATGATGTCGACATCCACGACAGCAAAACAAAGATATTTCACTTAGATGGAAATCACGTCTGATATACTGATATGATTGCCCCCAATTAAAATAAGCCTAGAAATAAAACAATAACAAAAAGTGCCAAAAAAAACTGAATAATATTAAAACTAGTCAAATGACGAAGTGTAGCACATAAATAAATTTGAAATGAACACCAGCATGACCCTTGAAACTCACTCTAACCCTCTTTAGGCTGTGCTTTGACTCACAAAAGAAATCTGTTAAACATCCAGGTTCAACCTTAACTTTTACTACAACACACGGCAATTGTGGGACTTCCTTTTGCAACAATACCACCTTTCCTAAAATGAAAACACAGAATCAAATGAAAGCCAAAAGACTTATCCATCTTGTGCTTTTGCTTCTGGTATGTCCACCGACTTTCATTATTAAGATAACTGCAAGATGTTAACTTGCAAAAGGATTTGTTTAAGACATGTAAACTTTTTTCTGTATTTATGAGACATGCTGCATCTTCTCCATTAAAATTGCAGCTGCAAGTTCCTGGGCATCCATCACATGAGGGTTCTTGGTCATAACCTTCCGCACCAAATCTGGTGGGAAGATGCCACATAAGTTAACAAAGATCCTCTCCCTTAAGTCCTGGTACCAACTCAAAGCTTGATTCTCTGAGTATTGGGACTCAGAGAGCAGGTGGTTCTTATGTGAAGTAATGGAGTGAAGGGACTGTTGTGGGAGTGATGATGAAAGACCACAGGGGGATGAATGAACTTGCTGACCCCAAGGAGAGTGCCAACCCTTCCCGTGAAGTGGTGGAAAGCTCTTATAGGAAAATGGATCATGGCAAGTCTTGGGGGATGGCAGATAATTAGAGTTCCAGTTATTCTGATGTTGAGGTTGCTGGTTAAGCCCAAAGTTGTTTCTTTTAGAATTAAATAGTGACCCCTTGTACACTTTGGAGTCCTGAATCTCACCTTCTTGTAAGGGCATCAAATTACAACTGAAGGGGGAGCTCTGGGAATGAGAGTAGGCAGTAGATGTTTGGGCTGGAAAAGAGGTTAATTCCCTTTGAAAACTGTTCAATAAAGACCGCCGAAGTTGGGTTGAGATGAATGAAGAGGTCTTCTCATGAGGGTGTGGTGATGTGTGAGGGGTAGATGAAGAAGGAAGTTCTTTGATGCCAGACACATGTGATCTTTGCACTCTTTGAGTTATATTACATCCACGAGGAGGATGATAGTCCAGTCCAGAAGATACCGGACTTGTTACTTGGTTGAACTGATTAGCATAATGATGATGGTGCTGAGGATGTTTATGGTGGCATTTGGGGCTATCATCTAACATTGGGTCAGGAGAAAAAGAGTCAGAGCCTGTACTGCCATTGCTGCTGCAGTCAGATGGCAGAGAGCCTGTTTGAAGCTCAGCTGGAAGGAGGCAGTCTGGGATTTGTGGAACCACAAGACCGAGATTGGAATAGGGGTTTATCAGGGAGCTATAGCCCACCTCTGGAGACTTGCATCTATGGTAAGAGTCACTCTGGCCTGACCCAAAGGCTTCATCAAGTCTAGACCCACTTTCATTACTTTCTCTAAGCTGTTCCCATCTGTCCAGATACCCTGATGAAGGGGGCACCCCTGAAGGAGGATGCCCTACAATGATGCTGCTGCTGCTGCTACCCCTATGTCCTTCTGCTTTGGAATGAATTTGCAGTTTGTCCTCCATGATTTCAGGGAGGGACCTCCAAGGGCTCTGGCTTGGTAGTTTTTTGCCGTGTTTTGGTTCAGTTTCAGGCATTTCTTCTGAATGACCAGTGCTTTGGCTCTTCACCAACAGGGCATGTTCTAACAAGCCTCTGGAAGCGACTGATGAAAGTTTGGCGCTGGCCCGGAGTTCATCAGCCACAGAACGCTGAGGCTGACTGCCCCTTTCTGGATGATAAAACTTACACTTGTGACCATATGTGCACTTCTTCCCTATGGGAGACAGAAAACATTTGTATGATTTATCACCTCTATCTAATCATGAGGAGTTATATTTCCTGGTATAAAAAAGTATACAATAGAATAATATAAGTACTTAAGGTTACTTTTAAGCTATTGAGATGCTTAAAGGTAGTAACAAAACCAAATGTAAAGTATAAAGAGTGAATTTATTACCATAAGGACAGGGTTGTTTTCTACATTCAGGAACAACAGGTTTTTTCCTTAGGAAATTCTCCAAACTTGGTCCATGGCGTCCGAGTGGGTCATCAGGAGGCATGAATCTAATTGCACAGTTTAAATAAATGTGATTCAAATGTAAGTTGCAAATCTACATTGATAGTTATCTAACTATCTCTTTATTTATATTACAGCATAATAAACTGTAATATCTTCAGCTTAAACTGTATTGTCTGTGCTGTTTCTGATACATTTTTAGAGCACAATGAATTCTTAGACAATATAAGATAAATTGGTGTAGGTCTCGTTCACAGTAAATTAATTGTATTTTAATTCTGGTGTAAAGTAGATCAAGGTTCAAGGAGACATTATTGTCATTCGCATCACATATGGTACATGAGGTGGAATGAAATTGTGTACTCAATGTTCCAGTTACACCCAAGAAAGCAATTTGTATAAAGTATAAATAAAAATAAACAGTATATAAGGATCTAAGATATACACTAACAATAATAATATAAATAAGGTGTAGTAAACAGCAACCTGATAGGGCTGCAGATGCACTTAGTTTCAATCATTTCAAAACATTCCTGCAACTACAGATCACATGTAATCAGTGGAACAAAGCTGAGTGGAAGTTTTAAGAATGAAAATAACAGGAAATATGAATCTTAAGGTTTTGTTTGCTTACTTGTCATTTACGAAGGAGTACATCAGTAAGCGTTCATCAATAAATTTCTTCCATTCTGGCTTCTCATTGGCTAGGTCCCGGTAGTTGTCATTGGAAACAATGATTCCATCTGATTCATAGGCCAGTTTGACAATGAATCTGTCATCATAGCAAACCACACGGCGACCCTGAACGCGTCGAGATGGAGTAAAAACCAGGATCTTTTCTTTCTCCAGTCGACGTAGTGTCTCTTGGTCTGAACAAAGGAGGATTCAATCAAGCATTGAAGACAAAGAAAACAGTTGTTGAATTTTGTCTTGGAAAAAAAACTGGTACATTATTATTATTTTTTCTTATATTAGATTGTATTAGTTTCTGACAGCTGTGGTAATTGATACCTGTGATTAGAGCATCAGGTCGTGACTGCTCCTTTCTCCAGGCTGGAACAAAAACAGTGATATTGCAATGGCCTCGGTCCAAGAACCAGTCAACAGCCAGCTGGATGCCTTGGCAGGAGAACACTTCCTTATTCCCATGACTGCATGAGCAGAAAGAATTGTTACAAAAAGCAACAAGGAGTTTAATTTCCCTCCCCTGGACGTGCATTACCGGGGCCCCAATCTGGAGCCAGCATATGAGGAGGGGCTTGTTGGTAAGCACCTGGTGATCGAACTTGGGGCCTGGTCCAACTCAGTCTGAATGAGCTACATAGGTTTGCCTTTCTGTGGGCCAACCACCTGAGGACCATACAGGTTGGGTGCAAAGTGATATGGGTGGCAACTGAAGGTGAAGGCCTTGGCACTCTGACTGAGCACCAAGGCCTTCACCTTCAGTAAGCCATCTTCAGTAAGCCACCTTCAGTACACTAGTAAGGCCTAGCGTACTGAAGGTGAATTTTAGTAGATGGTTAGGTTAAGAGGTACTAACCAGATACAGTGAGGAAAACAAGTATTTGAACACCCTGCGATGTTGCAAGTTCTCCCACTTAGAAATCATGGAGGGGTCTAAAATTTTCATCTTAGTTGCATGTCCACTGTGAGAGACATAATCTAAAAAAAATAAAAAATCCGGAAATCACAATGTATGATTTTTTAAAATTATTTATTTGTGTGTTACTGCTGCAAATAAGTAATTGAACACCTGTGAAAATCAAAATCTTAATATTTGGTAGAGTGGCCTTTCTTTGCAATTACAGAGGTCAAACATTTCCTGTAGTTTTTTACCAGGTTTGCACACACTGCAGCAGGGATTTTGGCCCATTCCTCCACACAGATCTTCTCTAGATCAGCCAGGTTTCTGGGCTGTCGCTGAGAAACATGAAGTTTGAGTCAGAGTCAGATTCTTTATTGTTATTCGCACCTCATGTGGTACATGTGGTGGAGCGAAATTATGTACACAGGGTCCCAGTTACATCCATCCATCCATCCATTTTCTTCCGCTTATCCGGGGTCGGGTCGCGGGGGTAGCAGCCTAAGTAGGGAGGCCCAGACTTCCCTCTCCCCAGCCACTTGGGCCAGCTCTTCCGGGGGAATCCCGAGGCGTTCCCAGGCCAGCCGAGAAATATACAGGTCCTTCTAAAAAAATTAGCATATTGTGATAAAGGTCATTATTTTCCATAATGTAATGATAAAAATGAAACTTTCATATATTTCAGATTCATTGCACACCAACTGAAATATTTCAGGTCTTTAATTGTTTTAATACTGATGATTATGGCATACAGCTCATGAAAACCCAAAATGCCTGTCCCAAAAAATTAGCATAT